TTTCACTAAGGGTGTTTTAGTTTAAACATTTTCAGTTTAACAGTAATGGTAGTAATGCATTTAAATTCATTAACTGTGGACATACAGGAAATCATTAACGTCAGATATACATCTAAAGTGATTATTTACTACAGGTTTTGTTTTGAGATGCACTCATCCACCAAAGGCAGGACCTCCTTTTTGCAGCTGAGCCAGGTTTTTGAAACTGGACTGGGTTAAAGTTAACTGGATCTTGAAGCCATGTGCCACACAATGAGCAGAACTGAAATCAGCTGGCTCTTTGGGGGGAGTGGGAGGGGAATTAAAGCTTTCAATTTCCTGATGAAGTAACCAACCACACCTGCTTCTCTATCAGATGAAACTGAAAAGAAAACTTTGAGTCAGATAATGCCAAAGCATGTGAGGCTGTTCTGTTGGGCATGACTGTGTCCATGTCTGCTGTGCTGCCCAGGAGGGGGCTGAAGATCAGCATCCTCTGCTGTGAGCACTGGATGCCTGTGCACAGCAGTGGCCGAGCATCCCAGCAGGCTGCTTCCAAAGAAATGGAAAAAGAAAAGGGGGGAGGGTTTAGTAGGGTGCCCACATTCAGTAAAGCGGTCGAAGAGAAAAGCTTTAAGGAAGTTGTGACCTTTTTGTTTCTTTTGCTCTCCTCAGTGTTATCAGAGGGGAAATGTTGAGATTTTGTTGGAATGATTTGTGAGCCATGCGGAAGCTATGTGGGATTTCAGAATGGACTGATAGAGGATTTCCAGGCAGTGGTGACCAGCAGGAGGGCGTGGGGATGATTTGAGCTGACCTCCAGCAGGGCGCTCTCACTGCTGGGCCTGGGCACCTGCAGCAAGGTGCACGTTAATAGTAAAATTGTGAATGTTGTTAAACTGATGTTAATTATTTAAACAGGGCCCTGCTTGCACTTCTGTTGTTGTTTTTAACGCTCTTTCTCCCCTGTGAGGTAACTAAACATAAAGTGCATTAAAGCTGGAGGACTGGCAGTGGGATGTAAAGTGACAGCACGTGTGTTGGGAGGAGGGATCTGCAGAGAGGAGCCGTTTCCCACGAGTGTGGGAGCAGTGCTTATTCCTCGGCCCCTTCAGAAGGCTTGTCCCCTCACAGCATCAGCTGCGTTCCGATCCTTGCCAAGCAAAGAACTGAAATAGCCGTGTGAGGTCCCCATTCAGCTCAGCACTGCAGGCCCAATCCAAAACTAACTCAGGATCGATTCTTCTCAAACGCTTGGATAGCTGGGGGTGAAACAAACGGACAGAAGGGTGAGTGAGTGCGGCGTTTATTTCTCTCACTTCAGGATGAGCCTCGTGCTGGTTACGACCTTCTCACAAACACCTGGAGGAAGGGCACGGAGGCACACGGAATCGCTGACCCGAGTTTTGGGGCCAGCCGCCAAGGCTCCGCGTGAGAACCGGGTCAGGGATCGAGGAGGAGCGGCTTCAGCTCGTTCCGCTCCCATCCTGCGGGACGGGATGCAAAAGGAGCCGCGTTTGCTCTTTGTCCCCCGCTAAAATCTGCTCGGCGTGAGCCCCGGACCGTCACCCCAACTAAACCAACCGCCCAGCTCAGCAGCAGCTCGTGGCGCAGTGCGAACTCCTCGCTGCGGGGCGAGGCGGTTCCCATGCCGCACTCAGAGCCGCCGGTCCCGCGTTCCGCCCCGCAGCCGTTCCGTCCCAGGCGGCGCAGCGGGCCGCCCCGCACAGCGCAGGGGCGTGCCGTGCCGTGCCGAGCCGAGCGCTCCCTCCCCGCCCGCCCCCGCGACGTCGGCCGGCCCCGCCCGGCGCGGAGGGAGACGCCATTGCGGGTTGTTTGTGCGGGAGGCGGTGCTGCGGCCGGGCGCTCCGCCGCGATCATGTCCACCCCGGCGCGGCGCAGGCTGATGCGCGACTTCAAGAGGTGAGCGGCGGCGCGGGGCCGGGGCCGTGCTGAGGGCGGGCCGGGGCGGCCTCGCCGTTCTTCTGAACCGCCGGGGCTTCCGCGCGCCCCTCCCCCGGCGCCTCCGGACGAGCCTCCCGGGGTCCCGGCGGCTCCGAGGCGCTCCGGGCGGCGGGGCAGAGCAGAGCCCTTCCGCCTTTAACGGGCGGCGCGGGCCGGCGGAGCTCCTCGGGCCGGTTCTGCTCGGAACCGGTTCCTCCCATCCCCCCGGGGCCGCCTGAGGTGAGAGTTGGTGCCGCGTCCGGAACGAACTCTCGCGGGGGGCTTCTAAATATGGAGCGCTGCAATTAGCGGCCGCTTCGTTCTCCGTATGTAAGCAAAACCCAAGTGTCCTTTAATGTTTGTGTGCGCATGCGGTTCTGCCCGAGCTTCTCCGTCCCGAGCAGCCTTGGATAACGCACGCCGAGTGTCGAGAGCTGCCGTTCGCCGCGTGTTTCTGAGCGTTGCCGACCGATAGGGTCACGGCTGGGAGCGGAGGAAAAGCGGCGTTGGGGTTTGTTTGTTGTGTTTTGTAAACGTCACAGCTCGGTGTGTTTCCTCCTCGGCCTGAGATGAGTCAGCTCGGGTAGGGGCTCTTAGCACAGCTGTGGTGCCCGTACCGAAAACGCAGCGGGGAGCAGCTGTGCGCACCCAGCACGGAGCGGTGCTGCGATGGGAGCCGGGCGCCGGGAGCCTGCGCCGTCCGAGCTGCGGGCATCCTTCATCTCAGGGGCCGGGTGATCCGCTCGGGGCCGGGCGGTGCTTTGGGGTAGCGATCGGACCTTCCTGTGTGATTTTGTGATCTTGGAATGGAAGGTTGAGAATACTTTGAAGAGCGAGCACGGCTCCCGTTTCTTTATCAGATATTTGACCACTTAACACCCCAAAACGCACATAGCTACCTCATGTCTATTTTTTCCCCTTCCTCCTTCCCCCCCGGTTATATTTTTGTTTAGCCTTGCATTACTCTTACCTCATACTGAAACAGCGGGCTGTGCTGTGAGCTCTGATTCACTTGGTTAAATATAAACTCCTTTTGCATCTTAGAATTGCCAGGATAGTGGAGAGGGAGCAGCGTCTTGGATCACCTAATTAAACCAACAGAGAAATGTTATTTTTGCTATACGTATGTATTGTTATGTATAAATATTGTATAGAGGAGGCTCAGGGGAGACCTTACTGCTCTCTATAACTACCTGAAGGGAGGCTGTAGTGAGCTGGGGTCGGCCTCTTCTCTCCTGTAACAGTGATAGGACTAGAGGGAATGGCTTCAAGCTGCACCAGGGGAGATTCAGGCTGGACGTTAGGAAATACTGCTTTTGTGAGAGAGTGGTCAGTCACTGCAATGGGCTGCGCAGGGAGGTGGTGGAGTCACCGACCCTGGAGGTGTTCAAGGAACGTTTGGATTTTGTGTTGAGGGACGTGGTATAGTGAGAGCTATTGGTGATCAGTGGATGGTTGGGCTGGGTGGTCCTGTGGGTCTTTTCCAACCTTGGTGATTCTGTGATTGTCTGTGTGTAAGTACTGCTAGAAAAGGGCTTACCAATATTACATTTTCCCTAATTCTTACTGACTTCCAGGCCCTGTTGAGACCAGCCTGGCATGCAGCCCTTACCACAACCTGTCTGTATTTAGTTAGACCTTTTGACAGCAGGGTGTACAAGAGCTTTTAAAATTGCTCTTAAACCCAAAGCCGTCCTCCTGATACATTTATCAGGCAGAATGCTCAGGCATTATTACCAGCCTGCAGCATGGAAGAAAACACATTCCTGCTCTCCCTGACCAAAATAGTAGGTGGTTTATGCTGTTCAAATTAAGCTGTCTGGACTGCATGTGCTCACAGAGCAAGGATGTAAACACGGTCCGCAGGGGAGCTGGATTGCAAGCAGCAGAGCCCAGCTGCCAGCCTGGCTGTGCGGGCAGCGTCATTGCTGGTGTCTGTGTACACGAGCAGCTGTAGTCACTGTGTCAGGGATGGACGTCCAGGCACGGGGGGACTTCCAGGCATCGCTGCTGGCGCTGTGCCTGGCTCAGCCCTAAGTCAGTCTGCACAAATGGGCTGGAACTGAGTTAGAGTTTGTCCCTCGGTCTGTAAGGCTTTCAGTGAGGGTTTGCTCTTAACATCATTCTGCTGTGCAGTCACATCTCATGTTAACACTGAACAATTGCTTCAAAGCGAGGGCAGTTACTTCATTTTCTTTATTCTTGCATGACTCAAGTGTTGCAGTGGATGGGAGCTGTCACAGAAGGATCTGCCTGGGCAGTCCCCAGTGGTGTGGGAGGTTACTGCTTTATGTTGTTCCAGGGTCTTACGTGATCCTTTAGCAGAAACACACAGAGTATTCAGAAGGAGGGAATCTAGGTCCTATTATTTAGTTAGAGGATATATTTGTCTGGCGTGAGTTTATGCAGCTTTCAGTAAGCAACGTGCTTTTCCTTAGTCCAAGGATTAAGGAACTAAAAAGAATTTCAAATGCTTTAGAGACAAATATTTACATTTGTGGAACTGCTATCAGGGAGCAGTACAAAGGTTTCTCCTTGCTCCCTCTTCCCTTTTGAAGCAGTCAGCTCACCAGCCAAAAGAGCCATATACCAAATTTAGCTGCATCGTGCACAGACTTAGGGATGCAGAAAAAGCTCAGCTGACAGTTCTTTGCCCTCAGTTCCAGTAAGTATGCCCTGTAAGTATCACTGTGCTGAGCTCCTGTTTCTGGCCGTGGCTTATTCTCTGTTTCACTGTGGCAGCCAGCAGCAGTCACTTGCTCTGCTCCTCCATAACCATCTGGCTGGTGCTGTAAATCCATCCCAGCTACGTGTGCTGCTTTAAAGCATTGTTACTTGTGGTGCTTTGCACACCTGCCTCAACCTGCTGGGCTGTCACAGCGTGTTGATGTAATACAGGAGCAGATCTTGGTTTGTCTTTTGGAATACTGCTAATCTGCATGTAACACTTTGTCTCTTCAGTAACTTAGAATGAGAAAGGATTTATAAAAAAAAGTGGATGTTACTATTGAGTCAGACTTGCAGGTGGAGGCATTTCACTTACGTAAGGCTTGCTGTTCTATATTTGTAATTTCTAGATTGCAAGAAGACCCTCCTGTGGGTGTCAGTGGTGCACCATCTGAGAATAATATAATGCAGTGGAATGCAGTTATATTTGGGTAAGAGTTTTTGCTCACTATGAAGTCCCTTTTTTGGGGAGAGGGAGGTGGGGGAATTTTTTTATAACATCCCTTTTTTTTTTTTTCCTTTGTGAATGTTAAGTCAGGAAATTTACAGAAATGACCAAGTGTGCAATCACAGTGAAAATCTGTTTTCAGGGGTAATAAAGAATGCCTAGGGGAAAAAAATATATATTCATTGTCTTTTTTTTAATGATGTTTGCATGTGGCTTAATAAATAGAACGGGTTTTATAGGAGCTGGGTTATGAAAAAGCAGGCTGGCTCTTTAAAGGTACATAAGAGCACCACATGTTCTTGGCCATCAAATCCAGATGCGTTGGCAGTGTTTGGATTGATTCCTGGTGGAATGAGGTTCTATTTAGGAAGTTACATTACGTATACTCCAGAAGAGGAACTCTGGTAGTATCCTTTCGTAAACCTGAAGTCAGCTTACTAACAATCTCCTCGTTAATTCAGCTCTAGTCTGAAACATGGCACACCACTGCTTGGGGTGATAATGAAGTAGGTATCTTCACTAACAGCTTGACATGGGAAAGTCTGCTGAATGTGACAAAGCTCTCAGAAGTTGCCTTTGGAGGCTTCCCTAAATATTTGTGTGATTGTCTTTATGTCTGTCTTGAGGAGAGTAAGGAATAATATGTTTATTGTGAGCATTTAGAAGTAGTGGTCATTTTTAACTGGAATTTATTTTTTACACCTTTCAGGCCAGAAGGGACACCTTTTGAAGATGGTAAGCAGCTAACTTCTGTATTCTCTGTCATTCTTGTGAATATTGTCAGTATTAACATTATTCTGCCTGATATTATGTAGGTTTGAACAGTCTGAACAAGCAAAGAGTGGTGGAGCAAGGTCGAGTTAGCTATGAAAATACTGTATTTCTGTGCAAGCAGTGTCTTACCTTAGTGGTTGATGGTTAGTTACAAAGCTATGAAGCAGTTCTTATAACCTTGGTTTGTTTAGACACAGAACGTTTGAGCTTTTGGTGGAGGAAGTCTAATGCTGCCAGATGTCTTTGCATCTCTGCAGCTAAGCTCAGCAAGATAGCTGAGCAAGATGCTTTTCTGGTTTCATCTTTGTAGCATGTTTGATTCATCTCTGTTCTTCTAACTAAGAGCAGGTGAATAATCTTGAATTGTTCTGAAAATAGAACTCAGTGAGAGGGGGGAATACCAAATCTGTACATAAACATGAAAGTTGATGTGTAATGAATCTCCCCTAGGCATATGAGGAATAATGAGTTTAATAATTATAGCGTTATTGCAGTAATCAGCAGCAGATGGGTTTTTCTCTGTGTTGGGTTGGAGGAGTACAGTAAATTATTCACTGATCCGTAATAAAGGTTTTCAGTGAATCATGAGCTCTGAAGACTGAGATTGCTGATGATGAAATTCCAGTTTTTGCTTGCTGGCACCACAGGGCCTTCTTAATGAAACACCTTAAAGTCACTGAAGTCCATAGAACAGGCTTCTTTGGTCACAGAAGAAGGGAGGAAGGCAGTGGGATGATTGATGTTGGATGTAGCTGCTTTCCTCATGTATACAGTGAGTCTCAATGCTTGGACCTAACTGCTGCTGCTGTTTTTATTGCAATTAGTAATTATTAGTTCCATAGTTCCATTATCACTTGAAATATGTGAAAAGAAAGCAGACTCAATGTGGCTTGTTTGCATAATAGTGGGGAGAAATATTGATTATGGAGCATATGAATTAACTTACCTTTGTTTTTTCCTGGGGCATTTTTTGTTGGTGGTCATCTGATTGTATTTATGTTTGTTTGGACAGGTACTTTTAAACTAGTAATAGAATTTTCAGAAGAATATCCAAACAAACCTCCAACTGTTAGGTTTTTATCAAAAATGTTCCATCCAAATGGTGAGTAAATCGTTTTTATTTAGCCATAATACTAACTATTATGGTGTGGTCATTTATTCTGCAGAGCTTCAGAATGCTTAACGGTTTGCTCTCTGCTACCTGCTGGGTAGTTGTCTCAGGCAGTAACTACTTGATGGAAGAACTGAGAGTTGTGGTGCTGCTAAGTAGCAACTATCTGTCTCTTTCCAATCAATATGGCAGCAAAATCTGTAAGTGTTTTCAGCTACAGCTGCACTTAAGTTAGCCTAAAGGGGCAATCCTGCTTCAGATTCCTGCCCCCTTCCATTTAACAGCACTTCTGTCTGTGTGGACACATCATGAATCCAGGCAGGGAACTGATGGTGCCAAATGTTACTTATTTCTGTCAGGTGAGAGCTCAGCCAAGCCAACCTGCATGGGGTTCCCTGTGCTAAGCCGTGCTGGCAGCGGGAGGCAGGCAAGAAAGTGCACTCCTAGGGGAGAGCAGAGGGGAGGGAGCTGCCCCCACCTTGGTGGGAGGGCAGCCATGGAGTGCTGTGCTTCTCAGTCCATCTCTCCGTAGCTTTTATTTGGTTGTTGGATGCAGAAAACATAAACCATGTCTCTCTGTTTCCCAATCCCCTCTGTTACAAAGGGTTATAGATTCAATTCGAGAGTTGAAGCGTGAACCTGTTTCAGCAGTTCCTGTAGCTTGAGCCCTCCTTGAGCAAAGGCTGGTTTTAACTACAGTTCTGTGGCTTAGGCAGTATTCTTAGGCAATACTCTCTAACCATTTATCTGTCACAAAACAAGAAAGCCAGTATGCTTCTGACCATTTTGTTTTATTATATTTCGTTACTGGGATGAACAAGCTAGAAAAACAGCATGTAGAAGCTTGCATGACAAATCTCAGTATCCTACACGCTCTTATATTCAGACAGAAGTCGTATTTCAGCAGACAGTATTGTCTGCCTTAGAGCCTTTCCTAGCATGTGAAAACTGTGCAGTTCCCCATGCAGTCCATGATGACTGAGGTCCTCGGCTGGCGCAGTGCATTCCATGCCTGCAGCAAATGTCTCTCTGCTTGCTGAGAGGCATTACGTCGACTTGAATCTGGGCCAAGCACACAGGAGGAGCAAGAAACCGAGTCTAGGTCTACCAGTTCCTGTGCTATTGCCATATTTTTTGAACATTCTTTCATTTCCTCTTAGGTGTTTTGTTACTTCCAGTAATGTATCTCCTTCAAAATACCAGGTATCAAATTATATAAGATAGTCAGCCATAGCTGCTGTAATCCTAAAGCATTTCTTGAACACAGGCCAGATTGATACAGTAGTTCTTGCTTGAACTGTATTTAATGAACAAAACGTAAGGTAAGTCTGATAAGTGATAACTGATCTGTGTGTTGTGTTCACAGTTTACGCGGATGGCAGCATATGTTTAGATATTCTTCAGAATCGGTGGAGCCCGACATACGACGTTTCATCTATTTTAACTTCAATTCAGGTAACTTTAAATCTATTCTAGCAGTTAAGTATGTTGTTACAAGTCTGTTTTGGAGAGTGCACAGCTCAGTGACAGAACTGGAGATGCTTCTGTCAAGGAACTTCAAATACTTGTAGCCTAAGCAATTGCTTTTTAGATCAAATAAACACAGAGTGCTGACCTATGTAATTACTGATTTTGAGCTGCAAAATTGCTGTTGGATAATTTTCACAAGAAAACAGTTAGTGATTTGGCTTCCTTTTTATCTCTTTTTAGTCAAGATGGGCAGTCAGGTGTAAAATTTGTGTAACGTAACATTTGAAACCATTTCACAAAGCCTCGGCCTGTCACTTCAAGTGCTGCTGAAATTTGTTTAATTGGAGTAAATAGAAATGATGTGGCAGACTGAAAATATTTTTTTCTCTTTAGTCCCGCATGACATCAGTGGTGTAATTGCTAAATAATCAGTTGGTGTCATACTGCAAATTGGCACAAATGGCTCTGTGTCTGTTTGTAAGGACATGAGGAGCCTAAAAATGTATACAGTGCTAATGCACATAAAATGTATAACTGGAAGTTCAGCAGCTCTATTAGGGGTGCCTAATATTAGCTTTAACATGTCTTATTGTGTTTTGTTTTTTAAGTGGGCTCTTTTTTGTCATGTTTGCTTTCTGAAGCATTTGATAGGAAAGATGTTGTTTTTCACTGTTCTGTAAAATGTTGGTTTGTCTCACTTTTTGTTTTTCCCTTTTTTACAGTCTCTGCTTGATGAACCTAATCCAAACAGCCCAGCAAACAGTCAGGCAGCACAGCTTTATCAGGAGAACAAACGTGAATATGAGAAAAGAGTTTCAGCTATTGTCGAACAAAGTTGGAATGATTCGTAACAGCTGCTTTGTTACTCTCCATCCTCGTAATCATTATGTACAATTTAACTCTCAATAGAAAGGCTACCAAGAATTTCAAGTGCCACAGCTCTAAGAATTTGCATAAAAACTCATTTGCAAACAGAATTAAGCCCTCCAGTTTAGGAAACTTAAAAGCTTGTGTATCTTGATTAACGTACTTCTTATTGCATGGTATGAACTAAGTTATTGCTACATAAATTTGTAATATATCCTGTTTGTATTTTTTTTCCAAGTGTATAATGTTGGTGTGGAGTTTTCATGACAGAATATACACATTTTGTAAATCTGTACTTTTTCAAATACTGAATGCCTTATTTTTGAATTCTTTAGATTTTTAAATTGGAGAAAAGCACTTAACAAAGTTTTTATATATAAATATTTCATGTAAAACTGTTAAATACATAACCTCAGTGCAAGACACTTCTCTCATTCTGTATCTCTTTCAAAAGGCTCATTTTGAGTCCATTTTCCCCTTTGCTACATGCCGAGTATACCACGCACTTTTTAAAACCAGAAAAGTTAATCCATTATAAAACTGTCTTCTCTGTGGATATCTCTGCAGCTGCAGCAGGCTTCAATTCGATTCTGTGTTCCTCAGTTGTATGAGGAAGAGAAGTGTTAGTGGCTGCCACTTTGTAAATGGGGAAGCATAACTATTTAGCTAAGAGTTCCACTACAAACCAGCAGCAGAGTTGCAGACAGGAGCTGGACTGCCAGGCTTTGGTAATAATATATTTTTCAGGGAGATTGTATTTTACCAAACTGTAAAATATTGTCAACTAAATCTGTCTTCTATTCATATATTGATACTGTAATATAGTCCTGAATATCTTCTAATAGTTACACAGGTATTCCATTAGTTTCTCTTTGGCTAGGGAAGTAATTAATCACAAACAGAAGAGAATGTGATTGCAGATTTAATGGAGTTCTATGGAACCTGGCCTCGTGTCTTTTCATGGAAGTTTTAAATATTCTTAAGCTGTCAGTTTTAAAGAAGCTTGATTTTGTCTTAGTAAATGTGGACATTCTGCTTTTTTTTCCTGTATTTTTAAAATCACAGTGGATATCTGTAGTAAAGAATTAGGACTTTTTTCTTTCTTCTAGCAGCTGCCTCTGTCACAGTTCCATCCAGCATGACGTATGCATTAAAACCCTCAAATCCCATATAAAACATGCAGCTCAGCGTTGCCTGAAAAGCAGTGGAAGTTTATCTCATTTGGAAAATACTTCTTGTTTGCCACAGTCATCAGTAAAAGCTGAACTTTGTTAAGTAGTGAAATGTGAATATCAGTGCTTGTACAGAAGCCCCAAAAGACCCGATTTCCCTTTTCACGATGGGTCGAGTAAGGCAGCATCACTGCAGAAGCATTTGTTTATACACAGAATACTGACAAGGTTCCTGTTTCTAAGAATCAATCTAAATTTGGACTATTTTCCTCCTTCAGTCTCAAGTTTCAGTCTTCCTGTTGCTTTGCCGTTCGTTAATTTGATTATTTCCGATCAGTTTAGCTTAGCTGCAGGCTGATTAAGCTCAGAAGACGGTTCTGGATGTGCCTGGACGGAGGCGGCGTGCCTTTGAGGCGAGACCTCGGACATCGCTGTGCGGAACGGGCCGGTACCGCTGCTGTGCGGGTGTGACGTCACTGGGACGCGACGGGCCCCGCAGGAGGAGGCGGACCGCAGGGCGGCTGCTGGGGCAGCTGCAGATCTCTGCTCCCCCCGGTGCCTGAGGCCGCTCCGAGCGGCTCGCGAGGCGAGATGTCTGATGTGCAATTAAAAGTCACAGCGCCGTTTCTCGGCGGCAGATCGCGCTGCCTGCTGGCGACAGGGCAGAGGGCGCTCCGCGGTGTCGGGAGGCCGCCAGGGCTGAGTCCCGTCGCCGGAAGCGGGCCTCGCCGAGACCGGAAGGCCTTCTCCTGCATACGGCCTCTTGGGTCCGCTCTGCCCCACGCCTCGTCTGCCCTGGAGGAGCGGGGCGGCTACCGCGCAGGCGCACTGCGCACTGCCGCGCCTGGGTGGAGCGGTCTGCGGGTGTCGCGGCCCTGAGCGAGGGCGGGCAGTCGGTCATGGCTGTGCCCGGGCCTGAGGGAGCGGGAGGGCACCCAGCGTGGGGTGCGGGCTGCTTCGGTAACCCCGAGGGAGCTGGAAGGCAATAAGCTGCAGTATAGCCACTCACGAGAGCTCACAGCACACCTCGCGGAGCGGGACAAGGGGGAGCGGCTTTAAACTAAAAGAGGGGAGATGCAGCGTGGATGTGAGGAGGAGGAGGACGTGATTTCGATGTTTCTGGCAGCGCAGCCCCGCGGTGCCGCAGCCCTGGCTGGGCTCTGCTCAGCAGCACCTATAGGGGCGGCTGGAGGCGGTCAGGTCCCAGCCACGCTGTGATTCTGAGGTGTCCAAACCCAGCGCCAAGCCCAAGTCACGAGAGCTCACCGATAGCATCACCTCACTGGTGCAGGCAGTCCAGGCCAGTGGGATTCTGCTCTGTGCTGCAGGCTGAGCTGTGCGACTGCAGCAGCTTGAGGTGCTCCGAATGCAGCTTCGTCTGGGGGGGGATTTGTGTTAACAGTTAATTCAGTGTGTCAAACCAACACACCTCCAAGTGCTTCGAGATTAGGAGCTCCCTGATACAGAAATTGCAGAAGAAGGGAAGATTCCCTGGCGGTTACGCTGGCATTTAGTTAATCAAAGAGATCGGATGTAGGCAAACAGAAGAATATTTCTGTGTTTTGCCTGTAGAGATTCTGTGGGAATATTGTTGATGTGTTGATGTCTATCCAAACGGAGAGGAGAGGAGGAGCTTTATCATCTGCTCAGAGTTCCCTGCCTAGCATTTTATTTGAGCATTTTTCTGTTTGTGTAAGCTCTCCCAGACAAACCCCATGCTGTATTTGTTTGGAGTTGGTTTTCTCTTTTTGGAAGAGGAAGGATAGAATCAACAGATGATCAGCTGTGACGTGCGAGTTGGCGAGGAGGCATTCTCCACCTCTGCTTTTGATGGAGCTCCAGAGCACAGGAAAGAATGAAAGACACATCCCTGCCCATGAGAAGGCAGTGACCTCCAGGCTACAGATCCATGGCTCAGGCGTTTGTGTGCACGGAGCCTCAGCTCAGGTCTCTGCTCCACAACTCTGGAGACTTTGGCTTTTCTTTAAGCCACTGGATAAATCCATCGTCCGTGTGCTGGGGTGTAAGCCTGAGCATTGCACCACTCACTGCTATAAAGCCCAGCTTGGATCCAGCCCTTGGGCCATGAGAAAGTCATGTCAGCAGTGCTGGGTGGTGTAGGGTTTTTTATTTCATAAAAGCTTTTGGGATAAAAATAGGGGAGCAACATAGAATTGTGTGTCATTGTATGTCTGTGGACAGTTCTGTTCAACATAAGCCTTCTTTACTATTAATCTCTAGATACTCACTTTTTTTTTTTTCCTATCTTCTCTTGCCGAAACAAGGAAACAAATACAAAAATTCATTGCCTTGATATTGAAAGATAAATGTTGTAAAGGGCAACAGAAAAAGGAGCAAAAAAAAAAAAAAAAAAAAAAAAAAAAAAAAGAACCAAAGAAGAAGAAAACCCATTACAAAACCATAGGCTTTTCTGCTTCTGAGATTGCTGTGAATTCAAAGGACTGAAGTTGTCATTTTAGAAAATAATATACCCTGGATTATGTGTGTGTACGTACGTAGGAGAGGAGAAAGCTTTTTGAGCTGATTATGTTAGAATCTTAAAAAAAAAAAAGCATGAGGTAGTAATACAGAAATTAGGTGGGACTCAGGATTTTCTTTTGCTTTTTTTTTTTTTTTTGTGCAGCACTGAACGTTGTTATTGCACCTTGAGTTTGTCTCATTGCACAGCTGCCGTGAGCAGAGAACAAAAAATAAGCAGAACTTTTAGACTCTGATAATGACTGTAATTAGCATCACAAGGCTGTGGAAATTGCAGTATTCCCTAAAGGTTTCTTGTCGTTCTCTCATGTTTCTGCGCTGGATATGAAGGTTTTCAACCAGGATACGTGCTCTGTTTGGTACTGTCCCACTAGTGGTAGTATTGCAGCCTCCATGGCAGTGTTAATCCATTCTTAATGCCTATATCAGTGTCGTGTTTCTGAGCTGGTCTGTGTGAAAGCTGGATCCTGCCAGAAAGTAAACTGACTGCTCTTAAACACTGTGCATTGTTCAGCATCCAGGGTGAAGCTTTTTTCTTTATGATGTGGTCAAAGCACGTAGCGTGGGATTTTCTGAGCTAGTGAAAATGTTAGTCAATGAAAGTGTATTTTAAAATCCCAGTATGAAAATGTTTTAATCAGGAATTCGGTGATGTCATAAATTATTTTTGCCCTTAAACGTGTGCCAGGGCTGGGTCAAACCCCAGCATAAAGGCAGCATTATGGAACAGTGGTGCTGACTGATTTATTAGAGCCGCGCGGCGGAGGCCGTCAGCATTGGAGGTAGATGGGCTCAGCCTCCCTGAGCCTCCACCTGTAGCGTGGAGCACTCAGTCCTCAACCCTCACAACTGAAAAGACTGTGTGTTTTTTGCCTTGTTTTTTAACTTTGGCTTATTAACTGCCGTGTCTGATGAATTTCCAAGCTGAATAATTTTGACAGCTGCCAATTTGGTACACATGCCACAGGCTGGAAGGGGTGCTGCAGCCCCAGCAAGGAGCACATCTGCACACCTCACCGGGCACAGGGAGGACCTCAGTACACATGGAGCAGGGATCTCTCTGTCAGCGAGGTCAGCCCGGACTCTGAGCCCTACATTGGGTCTTACCCCAGATAAGGCACTGCTTACAGATCTCTGAACAAAGCCTGAGCTGAACTTTGAACTGCTCGGTCTCAGCATCAGATTATTAATAGCTTTTCATTGCTATTGTCACCATTTATTCCTTTACTTACGTTGCTGTTTATTCAGTCCTCACACCCAAGGGGAGAAGGTTGGGTTCAGGATGGAGTTCAGAGCTCTGCCCCACTGACGTAGTGCCCAGTAAACATCGGTGTTTCTATTGTTAATCTGTGGGGTCACTGCTGTTGTGATGAGAGCGGAAGGAAGGAGTTTCGTTCTGATATACAGCACTTCACCCAGACTGAGCAGGATTGTCTTCAGTGACTGACCAGAGCCAGCAAGGAGACAGAACTGCCATCTCTTTTGAATTAATTATGAACCACACAGCTCTTGCTGTTATCTGCTTACACATTGTCTGCCTTGTGATGGGCTACTGAGAGATTTCCATTCACTGTCTGGTCCAAATGTACTGTAAGTCCAATTTCATTAATCAGCCCGCTGGCTTTACTTGTTAAAAGGGTCATTGTGTTTGTTATTACAGTGTTTTCTTTGTGCTCGCTTTCCCCAAATTCCAGTAACTATTTTGTGGAAAAGTTTGGAAGTGAACTTTTGATGCCTGTGAAAACTGCTTTGTTGACTTTATTGACTCCAGAGCCTCACGTTCTTTATCCACAGAGATCTTTAAAAGGACACAAAAAAGTTGCAGCCAAAGCTTATAGAATTTGGTACTTATGGTTACGTATTATAGACCCAATGTCGTTCCCATGGAGACCTAAAGGAATTTTTCCATTGAATTAAGTGGTAGCAAAGCATACCCTTTATTAAGTGGGATAAGAAGTAGACCGGAGAGCTCAATTTGTTTTTGCTGATTTTGTTTGCCTGCTTGCCCTTCTGTAGCACGAAGTAAACCAGAAGAAATGACAGATATTTGCACTGTGATTCATCTGCTTCGTACTTGCTGCGTTTGGAGATAAGGCTGTGTTTGTGGTCAAGGAGCAATAACCCAGCAGGCGAGGCCAGCTCTGTTTCACTCCTTGCTGGTGCCTTTCTCTGCAATCTGGAGGTGAGGGAAGTGTTTCAGACACTGCTTCTGTTAGGGAGAGGTCAGCAGGACCACAGCTGGGCACTGCGAGGTGCTGTGCTGCCTGCAGGTCGTGCACCACGTCTTCCTAAGGGCACCTCGAACATCAGCTTGTTCAACCACTCCAACTTGTTAGCAGTGAGATTCCAAGTATTTACAAAGAAATCCCAACTATATTCACATTTAGAAGGAGTTCTTCCATTCTGGAAGGTTGGGCTGTAGCTCAGCAGCTGCCAGAAGTCCCCAGTGAGTGGTGGCTGAAGTGTGGCCATGTGCTGCTGCTGACACACAGCTCCTGCAGCTCTTGTGGGTGCAGACCCTGAGCATTCCCACACAGGAGATTATAGAAGACTGAAATTGTGCATTTTGGTGCTGAAATTTATTGTATTTTTATTTGTTTGTTTGTTGTTGGGACTGTAATGAGATCCAGAACTACTGAAGCCAACAGATCTGTAATTGATTTAAATGGATTGAGGATTTCCTCCATAATGAAGTCCTTTCACTTTGGATCACTGAGATTTCTCTTGTTCTTTCGTAGTGCCGTATGACACATTCATTCCATCTTTGCCTCAAACAAAGAGAATTTATGCTATCATAGCTTCCCTTTAAATATTTTCTATTTGACAGCCTACTGAAAAGGCTCCAGAGGCAGATTCTTGGTTTAGAAGTTGCTATTTATGTCTATACACATCTGAACGTCGTTATGCTTTGCATGTTCTGGATTGCTTGCCATTTTCTTTGTAAAGATGTATGAGTCTAGAGAGAGAGCGCATTATTTTAAATGAATTTGAAGCATGCTTTAACCGTCTCAGGGTTCTACTTGTTGCTCCTGGCTCCCTTGATAAAAATACATATCCATATAAGCAACACCGCAGGGAAAATTTGTGTGTTGGTGTTATAAAGCAAGGGGAAGACTTTCTCAGTGCATGATGTTGGATTCTTTTAGCATATAGCACTGGAGTAATGGTGGGCTCTGTGCAGACAGGGCTGCTGTTCCCGAGGGCTTTCAGTGGGGGTGTAGGGCAGGAGGTGGTGAAACTCCATAGGAAACAGAAGCACAAGAGAATAACAAAATGATAAGGATGACAAGAAGGATAATGGCCTCCCTGGTCCTAATCAGCTATCCCAATTTTTAACATTTGTGGGTTTTGTGTGTGTTTTTTTTTTTTTTAAATGCTTAGCAATTGTAGCAGAAATGCTAAGTCATGGCTTGAAGCAGTGATGGAGCACCTGCTGGGAAGGCAGAACCAGCCCAGGGGAGCTCAGGTGCATGCAATGCAGCTGAGTGACCTGAAGGGCTGGAGCCAGGATCCACCTCTTCCCAGACCTCATTTAAGGGTTGGCAGTGGAGGTGAAGGGATCCTGTTGAAGTTTCCTGCCTACCAGAGGCTTTCTAAGGGTAAGCAGCTTTTTTCCTTTGTTTCTGTGTCCGTGGCTGCTGCATTTGGCCTTGTCCTCATTTGCTGCAGCTAGGGACTTTGCCACCCTACTATTATCTCTGTACTTTCCATCACATAATAGCATTTCAGCATTTTGTATACTTAATAAAAGAGCCCTACGGAGTTTACTCACACCTGAAATAACCTGCTCTGCCCTCACTGAATGCATTTCTGCTCCAGGAACAATCTACACAGTGTGGTTTTCCAAGACCATGGGATCTCCCCTCCACCTCTATTTTTGTACAGTTCTGTAGTTCTAAAAGGATTCTCTGAAGCATTCTAGAGTGCTGGCAATTAAACTGCTGCATGGTTTTGTTCTTTCTTAGAAGCTGTATTTTCATACCACAAAGGTATAAGTTCTGGAGGATGAGTATGAAAGCAGCCTGGCTCTCTCTCTGCATGTAGAGGAGCTTGCACATCCACTTAGAGAAGGATGGACTCAGAATCTTGTAATTATGTCTGCCTCGATGTTTTGTGTGCATGGTAACTGTATGGGAACTGCTGAGTCCCAGCCTGAACCACTGATGGAGCACCTGGGGAAGGTCAGCTCTGGGAGCACAGGTGAAGGCAATTCAGCTTCACAATGACTGGAAGGGCTGCAGCCTGGCTGCACCTCAATTAGACCCCATTTAAGGGCTGACAGCCGCTGGGGAAGGATCTCTTCCTGGAGATCCCTTCTTGGTGAAGCTCTCCACTGCAAAGCTGGGATCTTCTGATATGGTGAGCAATTTTCTTCCCTTCCTTTATAGCACCTTTCTATCGTGATGGTCCTTCCACCATCACACCTTTGTTGTAACACCTTTCCCATCATATTGATCTGTCACGTAACCCTGTGCATTAAATTAACAGCCAGAGGATGTTCTGGTCTGTTCTGAGGGATGGGCCCCCCATGCTGGTTGCACGACTTGGCACCAAAACTCTGGGAAGCTTGGATAACAATAGCAGGAACATTGAGCTCGGGTATGTGCAGGAGAAGAGGGGAATTCCTTCATTTTGCATCACTGTAAAGCATGCAATACGTCATTATAAAAGTCTGTGTATCAGTTTATCCGACGTTAATTGTCTTCCTGCTGACTGCGTTCTGTTACATTCCTTTTTAAAGGATGAGGAAAATATTTCAAGCGAATGATCAAAGGAATATTTTACTCCCTTCACGTTCAGAGGATGGAGTCTCTGAAGGATTTATTCAGGAAATGAGTTATTAGGGCCTGACAGCTCTCTGCAGCAGCACTGAGTGAGCAGGTTATCTACAGATTGCGGGTACAAACATCCCGTGCTTTGATGAGTACATGAGTAATGCCTTTAGAGGAGTTGGAAAGCAAGATTAGGTTGGTGCTGGAGCTCCAAGTCACTTCAGCAATTACCACAAAGCCTGAAACTTAGCAATCTAAAACAGGTGCTGGTAGAGAAATGGACATCTAACTGATATCCTTCTTCATTGTTGGGTTTCTTAACCAAGGAACGACAGAGTGTTTTGCATTGTGGGGAAGATGATATTGTTTTGGTTGTGTTTGCCATCAGCTCTGTGAGTGAAACTCACTCAGCATTGCCATCCAAATGATAGAGACCCTCTCTGTGAACCTCAGTGGTTGGAATCTCTGAGACCTTTGACTGTAATTACGCTGCTTGATGCATCAAGATCCTCAGAAGCATATCGCTTCTGGCGATATCAACCTAAGCAGCTTAGGTGATATAAACCTAAGTAGCTTAATAGCTTCTCAATGCCATATAATGTATTGGGAATCTCCCCACACAGAGAATCTGATAGGGGACATCTGAATCGTGGTGACGGCTTTAACAACCAGGAAGGCAGTGGAGTGCGGTGTGATGAGCTGGGTTAGGTGAGCTTGGGGCTGCCTGCAGCTGGGTGAGAGGCTGCAAGCAGAGCTCCAGGCAGGGATGTGGTTGGTGCTGGGGAAAATGGTTCCTCTTTGGAGCTGCAGGAGGAACAGCTGGGAGCTGGCATGGCCTCTCGGTGCTGTGATTGTGCAAACACGTGGATGTGGCACAAAAGCAGCTTTTGGTGACAGACTGAAGTACGGCACATCTCAGCAATACAGGCTGCTGAATTCTCTCTGCTGTGCATCTTTTCTCCCATGTTCTGAGCCTTCACACCAGCAGCAGTTTCCTCTCAATATTAGAATGTATAATTCCAGAATTCATCTGTCACTGTTTATTTTCTGATGCTGAAACTGGAGTTACAGGACTTCCTTACAGCAGTGTCCTCCTGGAGTGGGATATCACTGCTCATAGCACCAGCTGTGCCCAACCAACTACTTCTAAGCTCTGCTTCTGCATGGAGCTGCATGGTATGGGCAGCCCAGGGCCACTGCTGTGCTGATTGCAGGGATGTTGCAATAGGATGCAGGGATCCCCAGCGCCCAGCTCTGCAGGTATGCCTGTTCCTAACCCCATGAGCTCAGATTGGAGGTGGTGGGGCTGCACTGAAGTCCGTGTCACATGCCTCAAAGGAGCAGCTACTTACTTACAAAAGCCCATCAGAGCTGAATTGCGCCCTGATTGAGGCTATGCTGGGAGCCAGACATGTGACTGTGTTGGTGTTTGCATTATTTCCTGAAAAGGTAAAATTCAGGCGTTTATTTCTCATGTTTTTGCACAACACAAAGCCAGCAGGCTGATTTGTATTCAACTGCTGCATATTGAGGCTGGTCATCAGTCTTGTAAATGGTAGATAGGAGGAACAGCTACAGCAGAGAAATATTTCCTCTGGTTCAGGGTGGCTCCTAAGCGGGGTCCTCTCGCTCCCTGTAACCAAGGCAGAGTTATCTGTCTGGCATTCCCTGTCCCACACTTGCGGTTATTTATTCTGTGTTGTGCAGGAAGGAAGGAGACGTGTGCAATCTCCATTCTTGTTAACAGGAATTGTGCACCTAATTCTCTGTGCATTGTGCCGAAAATGAACTAGTAAGACGTGTTCTGCATCAGCAAAAAGGCTGCCTTGTTCAGCTGGAATGAGAGCATGCACGCTATAACTTGGAAGTGAAGAAAATCACTGTAAAGATTTCTTTAACAGAGCCTGTTGGGTTTTTCCCTAAATTTCTGCTGAGAATGAAGATTCTGCAGTGTTTTTTCCCTCCTTTCTCCTACCCAATTGCAGAGCTTAAAGCTTTCACTGCATGCGTTTCTGCTGCTCGTAGCACTTTTCATTCGGATGGCAATTTTTCATCTCCTCGCTGGCTTATGGCTAAAACAGTCCTTCTAACAGGAGTTGGTGTTATTTACTCCCCAGAATCAGTATTTCCATTTGTTCCCGGTCTCTCATCCTCAGGGAAAGGGTTTCCTTCTGTCTCACCTTGATGGATCCATCTTCCCAGCTCCCCTCCTTCCTGCAGATGCTGTCTCTGCAGCTGTAAGCGTCATCTGAGAGCACCTTTGTGAGACATTTCCAAGGTGTTACGAGCTAATGCGTTGGCTAAATCAGGGCTGAAATGCTCCAGACTGGCTGCTCAATTAATAAAAATGCACTGATGTACCCATGCATGGTGATGTAACTGACTGACTGTCTGAAAACTTTGCAGAATGCTTCACAGAAGTGCTGTGAAGTGCTGATAGTCACATTGCAGAGACTGCAAACAAGTGTGAGGGATGGACAGAGCCCTCGGGGAGCCACCAGAGTCCAAGGAATAGGAAGTGAAGGTTTCAGGCATCTGGTTGCATCAAATGTATGAATTCTGCCTGAATTCGTGGAGCTGCTGTATTATTTAGTGCCTTGCTGTGTAACGACTTGGATCTGTGCTCTGTAATGGATGGAAAATCTGCAGCAGGAAGGAGCAGAGACAAATTTAAGTGCTGTCAAGAGGGGATGTGGCTGCTGGGTGCAAACACACTGAAGGCAATGGAACTGGAGGACTTGTGAGCAGGGAGCCCAGCAGGCATTCGGCATGATGAAAGCTGAGTGATGGCATGTGAATCTGAAGGGCCTGGAAGTGCCCGGAAACGTTTAATGCTCTGCTTGAATCTGTGTGTATGCTTGGGTTATCTCTGAGTAAATGCCTTGTGATTCTTCTGGATTCCCCTGGGGAGCCCTGCTCGCAGTGTGCTTGTTCACTCATTGTGCCTGAAGGGTTAAACTATAAACTGAAGTACCCTTAAGTGCAGAGCTCAAGTGAGGGTGGTTTCCGAGCACCCGCGCTCTGATGGCAGCAGGAATGCAGCATCGTTCCCCAGCAGTGAGAGCAGCAGGGCTGCAGGAGCCACTCACAGCAGCCCTGTTCTGTGAGCATTAGTCCTGGTATGGACTGGGGTTGGTCTGAGGATGGGCGCCATGTGAAGTGAAAAGTGGTGTTTGAGGGCTAGATAAAAAAGCCACGTGGATGTCACCACAGCTCGGATTTTCCCTTTGCTGGGAACAGTGCCTCAGTGTTCGTGGGTTGTAGAGCTGCTCCAGGATGGGCAGTTATACAGTGTCTGGTTGCTTTCTGTACTGCTTTGATGATCTTATGTTTCTTCCTGTGGATGAGCACATGCAAGTGAAACACAGACCTCCATTCTTAGCTTCAGGGTCTACCAAAGCCACTCACCTGCTGCGTCCTGTTGGCTGGGCATTCCTGGCGGTGGGCACAGGGCCCCAGACCTTCCCAGGCAGGTTGGAGTTATGGCTCTGTGAAGGCAGGAGGAGCTCCCAGCAGCAGAAGCCTCCTTAGGCCATTTCCTGCTGATGGACACAGTGCAAGACCTAGCAAGGGTGCTTTGTGCCAGACACAGAAGAGTCTGGGCAGGCTGCTGGGCTGCCTCCCTGCTGGCTGTTTGGGGTGGGTGGTTGTGCTTCTGCTGGTCTCAGTGGTTCCCTATGGGAAGGACAAGCTGCCTTCTTGCTGCTGGGGTTCAGCCCTAGACAGGGCTTGTTGTGTGTATGGAGAAGGCACGTTAGCAGCAGCCTGGAAAAAGCAGAATGACTTCGAGAGAAACCACGGATGGGAGATGAAGGCAGCTCTTCCCT